GTTTTTATATTTTTCTGAATGTTTGTAATTAACTTTCAACTGTTTCTAGTACACTAAAGTTCTTCCGTGATTACCTATTGAACCGTCGGGATCGGTATTCAAAAAAGGGCAAATAACTCTAATCATTCCACATGGGAATATGATTATTGAACAACTGGTTCGCGACGATAAATATCCACAAGCAGAGGTTGCTCGCGGAACTCGCGGATATTTATCGCACGCGTACAATACTTGGTTTACAGTACTAATTAGACAGTGACTCCTTAAAACATTTTAAACACTATCTGTAAAGCTAACAAACTAGCAACAATCCCCAAAATTTAAAATTTACTTTAAAAGTATTCGCCGATGAAGAAGCAGGCGCACACCAAATAGGACATTTTTATTCATAATATAGCAATTTTTTAAAATAAAAAATGGGTTGTAGTGCATTTTCTTGAAAGTATATACTAGTATACTAGTATACTTCAATGTTCACTTATCAGGGAAGTTTCCTCTTGTGAGTAGTGCTGGGGCCTGGAATCCTCTCTTGTGTTCCTTTTTCTCCTTTTTGTCTCCTTCTTTCACTAAGGGTTTGGTCTGGTGTGTCCCTGAAGTCTTGGGTTCCTGAGGCTTTTTCTTCACTTTTTCTATATCTTTTACGAATTGTTTCATCCTCCCCTCCTCATCCTCTGGGCACTTATTAGCCCAATGGCCAAATTTCCCACACTTGTAGCACAAATCCTATTTTTTTTGGGACAATCTGGGGCCCAATGCCCAAACTCTTTACAGATGTAGCATGGATCCGTCTGTCTAGTTTTCTTAGTATCTCCGGATCCCCCTTGTTCCTCTTTTTTCTGGTAAGTGCTTCCTCCTCCTCTCATTTTGTCTTGCATGTTAGTGACTTTCACTCATAATTTGGATAATTTCGCATGAATCAAACAAAATTCACTGGCGTTGTAATTTTTCAGATCAGTCAGCTTGTTATCAATACCAGTCAGCATGTTAACAATCCCATCCAGAGTTGTAGTCAAGATGCCCATATTCTTCTTTATTCATGTATTCTGGAAGATTATACATGCCCAAATCCAATTCCACTGCGTCCTGTGACTCTGGCATGGGGGCCCCTTCAGGTGTCACATAAGTAGGGTTGTCTGGGGTATTCATCATTGCTTCTGTCATATTTTCACGTCTGTCAAGTTCGAAATGCCAACGAAGACTGATCTTAAATTTCCAGCTTTGCTTTATATACCTGTTCGAAGAGAATTCGACACTTACAAGCTTTGTTAGTCTTTAAGAAATAAATCATGTAATACTACGTCAGTGTTTCGTTATTTATGACGCCATCTTGAATTCTTTTCAGACGCGGAGTCTATGTATGGTTTTTGATCAAACATAAAAAATCTAGAGTGGATCATGATCCATCAAGTAAATACGAATGATTTTCAAAGCAATACGATTCTTTTCATATAAAATTTTCTTTTCATAAAAGATCTGGTTACTTAAAAAATCAGATGTGTATGCAATACGTTGTTAACACCCTGTGTCACTACAGTTTTCGATTTTGATGAAAAACAAACGATCAAGACTCCTACATGATCTGAAAAGTAAATACGAATTGTTTTTAACCTCATGACATTCTATTTTTCTTAAAATATCAGTCAGAAAAAGGTTAGATTCCAAGAATCGTTATGTATCTCATAGTATGATTTTCTGAAAATCCGTGACCTCTGACCCCCATTGTGTCTATATGTAAACCTATTTTAGCTTGTTTTTTACCCTGATCATGATTCTTTTGAAATAAAAACTATATCGGCACTCTTCCCTAAGTCCCTTCTCCCTGACCCACATGAGTTTTCCGGCTCTCACCCTCTAAAAAAGACTGAAAAGGCTTATTTTATACACTCGAGTCCTTGGATTTCGCCTCGTCGCTTCGAGGTTTTTCACTCTTTTCTCCACGACGGATGCATGTCATGTATCCTTTCTAGTATGAAAAGAAGCAGGAAACTTACCTTGTTTAGACCTGTATCATGCTGGAATCCTACTATGAATACATACTAAATAATCCATGAAAAGGTCTAGGTCCCAAAGTACAAATCACACACAATTTCGGTTCACCATGATATTTCGGCTCTCGCCATCGAGGTGCTCTCTTTAACGTCCGTAATTTGTGCATAAATACAGACGCTCGCCAGCAGTCGGCGTCATTCGTTAGTATCATCGTGTACGTTTTGCAATGGCTTCCGGAGAAGAAGATCTTCCCAGTTATTTCCTTGTGAATGGTGTAGAAGTCCTCGCATTTGGATAGTCCGTGATGTCACCACCGGACGAGAGTGTTAGCGCAGATGGCCGATTGCCAGCTGGGCCTGGCTAGGGATGAGGGGACAAGGGTACAGAGGCAGAGAAGAAGAAGACAGCGGCTCACCCCCTACAGACGGGTAGAGACTGAGGCAGAGGGATCCCCCCGGGGAAATTCGCCCCCACTCTCCAGTTCGGAGAATTACAGAAATCCATCGCCCCCGCCTGTAGTAGAAATCAACGACCGCCTACGCCGACGTGGTCCTCTAGCCAGAGTCCCCAGGGAGCTATTGGAGGAGGATGGGACTCGGATTCCCTGGGAGCCCCTCTCGTCACCAAGACTGGGCTACTTCGTCGGAAGACGAGGATCCAGTGCCGAGGGGACCCGTCCAGGTTGCAGATCCAGCTACCCGAGTCCAGGATCCCCCAGTGTTCCATCTGCCCGGAGGAGGACCAGCCCTCCAACTACGTTTGTTGTGAATGCCGGAACAGGCCCGCCTGTTACCGGTGCTCGGAGGTGCTGGTCCTCCAGACGCCGCCCCTAGGCTGCTGCCCGCTGTGCAGACGACGGGAACCCAGACCTTCTATGTCAAGGTACGTGGCCACCCGCGGCATCAGGGGAAGAGACCCCCTTTTCAGAAGACCGCCACCCCCGACTAGACCGCCGCCAGCACCCTCAGCCAGGACACCCCTCTCAGAGCGCCCAGAGTTTCGGTCCACCAGTGAGGACGAGAACATCGGCGAGTTAGTCCAGCGCCTGCTAAGGGAGTAAACCCTTTGACAAAAAAAATCACCCCCGGCCGTTTTCACGGCCACCCAATTGTTTAGAAAAGATGCCATCTATACAGAGGTAAAAAGAAACGTTGTGTGTCTAAGAAAAGATTACCTTTAAAAATGAAGTCAAAGAAACGTTTTTGTGTCTAAGAAAAAAGATTATCTTTTTTAAAATACAATCAAAGAAACGATTGTGTCTAAGAAAAGATTATCTTTGAATACAGTCAAAGAAACATTTTGTGTCTAAGAAAAGATTACCTTCTTATACAGTGGGTAAATAAGAAACAATTGTGTCTAAGAAAAGAATACCTTCTTATACAGTAGGTAAACAAGAAACGTTTTATGTGTATCAAGTTAACACCAGGTCACTTTTATATTTTTTTTTAAAAAGAACTTAGAATTTTTTTAAAAAATCTTTTTTTTAAAATAACTTTGAATTTTTTAATTTTTTTTTAAATAATAAACATGGAAAAGAAAAAAAAACACAGAGGCCTTTTTTTAAATGAATTCATATAACACACAGACACATTTTTAAATTTATTTTTTTTTTCATCAAACAATAACACACATACATACACTTAATGTTTATGAAGAATGTACACCTGTTTGTCATAAGTGTGTACAAGTTGTTCAATATTTTTTAAAATATTTTTTTTTCAGGTTAATCTACAATCTCTTGGAACTAATACTTTGTTTCTCACATCAGGTTCTAAAACCCCATATTCTTCATAGTCACCTTGTCTGTAAAATGTTCTTTCCAATTCTTGTGTGCTGTGAGACATATTAAAACAGGTTAACCCATGAATCTTTTTGTACATGTATCTCTCATGACCGCTGTATTTCATTTGAATGAATCCTCTCACATGATGAGGTTTTCCAGTTTCTGGATGCATTTTTTTTTGTAAGATCAAGTATTGATAATCACTTCGAATGATTTGATCTACATCCTCCTGTCGGCACCCAGTTAAATTGAATATCCAATTTTTGGCTACTCTAAATCTGTCTTTTTTAAACTTAGCAATATAACGATTGCCTGTATTTTCTTTATGTTTGTTATTATAACGAGTCTTAATGTCTTCCAAGAGTTGAGTTTTGACTTCTTTCATTATTTGTTGACTCTTCTGTAATGGTTCTGTGGGTTTAAAATCCTGTGCTTTGTCAATCTTTTTTCTAATAACATCTTGTTATCTTTATTGTTTGGTTTTATGTTTTCTTTCTCCTCCTGAGGTTTACATTCTACAGGATGTTCTTCCATCAAGGGAGGTGGTATGATATCTTTTCCTCCCTCCTGTTTAAATAACCATTCAATTTCCTCTAATCTAGTGTTCTGACTCATTTCTTTGCTGAGGCTGTTACCCATATGAAAGCCAGTCAACAACTGAGGTGTGTTTGTACCATGTTTACAACAACAATGCATTACAATACATTTTGATAAAAACATTGACATGTTTGTCCATGACCCGTAGGTAATTTATGATAAGTGTTTTTAAACCAATTAGCCACGTATTTATCCCTTTGCAAAGCCGTACTCTGGTCAAAGGGGAATAACCACTCGTCGGCTTTCTTTCTTTTCTTGTCTCTTTGATGTAAATAATACACGCAATATTGTCCACACACATCGGTATTCCAGTCTTGATAGCGATACGGATTATAAATCCATTGGTGAGCATGACGCTGGATAAAGTCTTGAATTAATTTTTGTAAGGGAGGAAATCCATAAGAATCGAAATATTCCACCACGGGATGACACACCCAATGTTCTCCAGGTCGATCTTGAGGATCCGTATTCACGACGATGGCTTTTTCTCCAGGTCTTAATTGATCCGGTAATAAATCTACAGGATACACGCTCCCAAAAGAACTCTTGAATTCCCTGGATAATACTTCTCTTATTTGTCCCGTATCCATTTTTTTGTAATCAATACTCACTTCTCTCTGTTTGTTAATTTCTAATAGGTTATCGATTCTGCATACACCACACAATTTATGGTGGTAGCCGTATTGTTGGTAAACTGCACTTCTACTCTCAGATTTCCTGTTTCTATGATGTGGAATTTATCCGATTGCGCCTCTTGATCTTTAGTGAAATCCCAGCCCCATAGAGTGTAGCCGCGTTTATACTCTTCTAGGGTAATGTCCGGAGCCCAATCTTCTCCTAATCTTCCCAGAGCTAGATACAGACTGAGAAAAGATCTCAGATATAAATTGTCGTTGAAATTAGGCTCAAAACAACGAATACTAATGCTCTCTCCGTTGATACTGACATCTACTTTCTTAATTCCAAAGTTTTGGAAATGAAAGGGATTTTTAGTTTGATCTCCGTTAAAGGCCGCATTCTCCACAAAGCCTAAAATGAGACGTTTAGGCATCTGGCCTTGAAACAGATAATCCGTAATCTTAGACTGAGTTCCTGTGGGGATGGTAAAGGTTTTTACTTCCACTCTTCTCAAGGGATATTTGGCTCTGTGGGTATTCAAACTCTGATTAATGGCATTCATCATGACTGGTGTGGGTTTAACTTTTCTCACCCACAAGACCATACTCAAAATTTTCACTTTTCCTGTACTTCCTCCTTTGATCATCATGTAGAAAGCGGGTCTAGCTCGATTAAATCGCGAACGGACGTCGACTCCATTGGGCAGAAATCGATCTTGTTGAAACAAATCTAGATGTAAATGATCCAGCAAAGTGATTTTCTTACTCCCATCGATAGCTTGGTGTCTTTCTCGGAATTCTTCGTTTTTAGAATTGGCCGGTAACTCTGTAAGGATGGGTTGGTTAATGGTCACCGTGTCGGCACCACCATTTTGACCCGGAGTTACATTAAAGGTCTTATTTTGAGCTACACCAAGGTCCTCTAACCCCACTTCGTCCATGTGTCCTGCCGTATCTTTTTCCCACAGACTACAGGCTCTCATCTGTGTCTTTAAAGTTCTGGGTTGGTAAGACAAAAATTTCTCCAGATAAGCTTTGTAAGGATAGGTATCCGTCCCCGGAGTCACTGACATCGATTTCCGTAAACATGGAATGTAAGATATTATTCACTGGACTGGAAGTGCTGTTAGCCCCAGTCAGATTACTTCCATCGTCTTTGGTAAATTTACATACCATTTGAAGTTAAGTTTGAGATAAATCCAGATAGTGATCTCCTTGTCCTTTAATTTCAAATTAGATGGGAGCGGTCTCCGAATCTAGAATACTGGAAATGGGGTAATATTCTTCCCATTTTGTGTCTTCTAAAGCAATATTAGTCGGAGGGACTTGGAACAATTGTAAATTGTTCATCCCACACCCACAGGAATCGGGTTGTAACATGATGTGTCTACTAGGATTAAGTTTTCACAAATGAACCTTCTGTTCACTGGACTGGTCTATTTATACTCTCTCAGTCAAACACATCTAAAGGACGTTTTCTTTTAGGAATTCCTCCTTGTGTTTTCCTTTTAATCTTAGGACCTCCTCGGGCTAACATAGGCGTCTTTTTTCTTCTGTTCAGTACCTCCTAGATTATTTTTGTTTCACCATTCCCGAAGTATTTTTGAGGGCTCTTACTCCGTGAGTTTTGACTGCGTCTTTTAAAGATCTCTTATTTTCTAATACGTCTAATCCCGTTCTAGCAGCAGCAGTCAAGGCTTGTTTATCTCCCGTTGTCAGTAAATCAGTAAAAAATCCTCGGCCTCTCTGTCGTCTTCTTCTTCTTTGACTTGTTATTTTCATCCCCATTCCCTATCCTCTGTGTTTTTTCATTCTTTTTCTTCTTTTCTTAGTACCTCCTAGATTCATTCTTTGTTTCACCATTCCCGAAGTATTTTTGAGGGCTCTTACTCCGTGAGTTTTGACTGCGTCTTTTAAAGATCTCTTATTTTCTAATACGTCTAATTCCGTTCTAGCAACATCAGTCAAGGAGTGTTTAGCTCCGGTTTTCAGTAAATCAGCAAAAAATCCTTTCTCTCTTTGATAGTTCTGGGGTGGATGATAGGCTGGTGGTGGGGTTGCTTGTAACCCCCTCCTAATAATCCTCCTACTAGATTGCTGACTAAGGGAACTGCTATTTTAAACAGGGATCCTAAAAAACCGTGTCCTTTTTGACGTAATAAGCCTTTATGATAGACAAACTGTCCGTGTCCTCTTTGTCTAAGTAATCCGGGATGATACTGCACGGTTCATGTCTCTTGTTTAACTGACCTTTCTGTCCTCAGGGACTTCCTTTTATACCCTTTTTTAGGGCTGAATACAATACATACAGCAGACCAGACAAAACATCACGCCCAATAAGATGAAACAAAATAAAGGTACACTCATCTCAGTATACTTTTCTGAAGTGAAGTTTCACGATGGACTTGCCACTTAAAAAAGGCATGGGCTGTCCAAAAGGAGTCATGATGTGAATCTCAATGGTATCGAAATGTTTTTTATTCAAAGGGACATATTCCGCTCGAATGGGTTCCCATTTGCATTGTTTTTCTTTGTCCTCAAAATGACAAGGCACCACTCTTAATAATTTCAAGGCATTGGAGCCAACCGTCTGGGGTTGAATGAGATCGCAATACACATACATGGATTTTAAATTCCGGTATAAATCGGGAGTGTCCGGAGCCATGTAACTGATGTTGATCCATTTGGTGGTGTTTTCTGTCCAATTTTCGGGCACCAATTTGCGACCGTGGTAGCCAATCTATAAGCCAGACTTAAGGGAAACCGTATAAAGATGGGAATTTGACGTAAATGAGTGACATAATTCACTCATGAAATTGCCCCTATAGTTCAATTTCATCTCGGTTTTAGGGAAACTTCTTCTTCTGCTCTAGGTCTTTTAGAACTTTCTTTAAGGAGGGATTTAAAGCCCCATACACCTCCCTCTCCGGCCACCATGATCGCACTTCTTGTATTCCTGCTCTTCGGTTTGGTCCAGGTTTGATATTTTTTCCAGATATTTTTTTAGACACCTTTCTAAACTTCATTCATTTCGGCCAGGAGAAGCTTCAGGGTTAGCATAAGGTCCCGGTCTAAATTTAAGGCGATACAAATTTAATTTTTCTTTTGGATCATAAGTCCAATTCAACCAATACGCTTGTCTCCATTCCACTAACAGTTGGGTATCTGCAAAGGTGATGGGGGCACTTTTCAAGAGTTGAAACCTTCCCCAATGATACTTAACCGGGTCCTCCAGATCCAGTTTCTCCCCCGGGGGTATGTTTTTAAAAAAGGGTGGAATTTTTTCCACCATACATATGTCCAGATAAGCTTCTTCTTCACTGATATTTTCGATACTACAAGGATAGATCATTTCTGTTAAAGCCACTTCCCACTGACCGTCGGTTAAATTGAGGTAAAGCATACTGGCTTTTAAAAACCCCCGTCCGTATGAAAATCCCCTGTCTTTCTTGTATCCTACAGCATTTTCACAGTAATCTACGGTATATCTACAGTATGCTACGGTATGCCAGCTCTGTATATACAGTAAATCTCTGTATGCCACTGTGTGTTTCCCCAGCATGCCACAGTTACATACAGTAGGCCCCGATAAGCCTACAGTATGCCACTGTACGGCTACGTTTCCTACAGACAACAACGGTAAACCCAAGAATATGCCCCAGTACGCCCCTGTATATGTTCAGTGAAGCAAAAAGAAGAATTTTACACACTCCCAGAGTACTGTACTGTTACCTAAGATGTGAGATTATCAATCAAGTACATTTAGTTATTTACCTGAGAATTTTTTTTTTAAAAAAATTACAAACACAAAGTTATATATCTTTTTATTTGTTAAGAGACTTATTGAGTTCTGTCATAACTCTGAATCGAAATAGTTCTGAAAAATTAATAAATCATTGCTTCAAAAAATATTTATCTATCATTTTTTTAAAATTGATTATTTAATTATTCTTTGAATTGATTGATTAGTAGATTTATTTATTTATTTATTTTGCAACACGTATTTTTTCCATAAAATACTTGGAGTAATCTGTTTAAATTTTGTTTAAAAAAACCCCAAAACAGCAGGGGTAATGTTGCATTTTGGAAAATTGTAGTTTTTTTTAAATTGATTGATTTTCTTTCAAAAAATAAATAAAATTGATTAAGGGCATGAAATTAATCATTGTAAAAACAAATCCATGTATTTCTTACAAATGCAGAGCTGCATACTAGTCACGGCACAAAATAAACAAGGTGAAGTGGTAATTGAAAATTAAATAAAATAAATGACTTTAAAAATACAAAATTAAAAAATGAACTAATAATTCATCTTATTTATTTATTCGGTTTATAAATTTATTAGGGATGTCAAATCGGTCAATTTTCGATACTCGGTTACTCGGACTTTTTTTGATCGAGTACCCGGGTATCGGTAAAAGTGTAAATAAACATGAACAAGTAAATTGAAGACTGTAAAACATTGTAAACTCTTGTAGAAATAAAACCAGATGCACTGATAGGAGGCTTATCCGTAAATGTATTTCTGTTGTAATAATGATGAGCACTTCGTGCCCGACGAAATTTAATATAACTTTAAATTCAATTTATTTATCAGATATAAACACAAGAAATAAAATCATTAGTTGTTCACAGTGTTTTTGTTTAAAAAAATAATCTGCTCAGTAATTGTAATGTAACTCTTTGTCGCGTTTGACAACCAGGTATCATGAGTCGTAAGAGCTACGTACAGTATCAACTTGAACTTGATCAAGTTCTCCAAACAGAGCGGATTTATGATTTTAGTACACTTGTTCGATCCCAGATTTATATAGTATTACGGGACGGTATTTTTAGTTTGATGCAACGATGGACATCAGTTTTTTTTAAAGCCTTTGCCTCCAACCAGTTGTATTGGCATGTAATCAAACACAACCATATCAACAATCGCACGTGTAATATCATCCGCTCTTTTCCCAAGAATTTACGGCTTCTCGGAGATTGACAAAATTATCTAATTTATTTAAACATAATGGATCTTAAACGATGTTCAGTGAAAACAAATAATTAAAGCTAAGCAAAAAATAAGGGAAGAAGGCAGCCAAAGGTGAGAAAAGCCAGGTACATCAGGTGTTTGGTCACGATAATTACTGTATAAACACTTCCACAGGCGATAACGGTCATTTAGAGTCGTAGTAAACCCTAATTACTGTATGTACAAGTGCAATGAGCATTTTACGTTTTAAAAAAGGTTGTTTAATGCATTAATAAATAAGATTAGAAATATTCAAAAATGTGTATACATCTAGTAACCGAGTACCGATTTTAGTATTCGATACTGTACGTTCATTGAGTACCCGTAACCGGTACTCGTTGACATCCCTAAAATTTATCTATAAATACATAAATAAACTAAATAAATAAATAAATAGTTTATTTATTTTTGTAATCGACAAGACAACAAAATAATCATTTATAATACCCCCCCCCCCCAAAATTTATTTTTTTTTAAATTTTATTTTATTTAAAAATTATTTATCCCAAAAAAATGCTACAAAGTATTTTTTAAGCATATTAAAGCAAATTTCAATTATTTTACGTCCACGATGGATATCAAAATAATGGTCACAATGCACAATTTTAATTTGTCAATTGCAATTTCATATTTTTACTTTGTTTTGATTGAAAAAAAAATCGATTTTCAAAACCCTAACACGATTATGAAAGAACTTCAAAGCCATTGATTGTTTACCAGTGACGCGGGGTACACAGTAATGACACCTATTGTCTTTTTCACTGACCACTTTACCTTGTTTATTGTGTGGCAGAGAGCGACCGTGCCCACTCTGCGGCTGTTTGAAATACAGTGTAACATTTTCCCTTTGTAAGAGAACCGAATTTTGTCAAACAAAACAAAACAAAAGTATCAAAAAAGTTTTTGACGGGTTAAGATTGTGCATAATGAGACGATTATTCTGATATCCAACACGGAAATAAAATAATTAAAAGTAGTTTAAATATGCTTCAAAGAGACTTTGAGAGACATTTTAGCGTAAACTTGTTTACATAAAATAAACCAAATAAATCCAACTTT